TAATAATAATACAAAATAGGGCTGGGGCTATGGCTCAGTGGTGGAGTGCCCCTGAATTCAATCCGCGGTATACCACCCCACCGCAACCCCCCGGACAAAATGCCATAATAAAGCATGGAATGTTTGTTGATTATGTGGCTGGAAGAACAGAGCCAGCAAAATGAGCTGGAATGTCACCATCATTCAGAAGAAGGCTGAGTTTGTTTCATGTCTTACAGCATCAACAAGGTGGGAACTCTATAACTAGAGCGAGTAAAGCATGGTTTGTGAGATTCAAAGAGTGCCACTGTCTGCCCCACTTCCAGAGGAAGAGTGCACCTCCCTAGCAACAACTGAGACATATATCCATATGTGCTGGAAAACACCATCAAAAGTGAATACAACCCCAGCAGGTTTTTGATGTAGATAACAAAGGCCTATACTGGAAGAGAATGAAAGAAAGTTTATTTCAATGAGAGAAAGCTGACCCTGGGTCTAGATGGATGCTGCTGCTTAGTGGAAATGCAGCTGGGGACAGTTGAAGCCCTTGCTGGTGTACCACTCAGAAACTCCCAAGGCTCTGAAGGGGTACTCAAAGCCCAATTTGCCTATAATCTGGCACTCAAACAAAAAGTCTTGGGCTACCAGGAGCATCTTGAATGGTTTACATGCATTTTTTGCCCTGCTATTGAAAACTACTGTGCCCAGAATAATCTCACCAAGAAAGCATTGCTCATTCTAGACAATGTGTCATACCACCCAGTAAATTTGAGTGATCTTTCTGATAATGTAAGAATAGAAGATCTTCAAGACAGTATAGCTGACTCAGTCTAGCCCATGGGTCAAGGTGTAGCCTCAGCCTTCAAAGCTCATTACCTGAGAAGGACTTTAGAGTACACCCGAAGAGCAGCAGATGGCAAGGATACAGCTGTGATCAGAGTTTTGGAGAAATGACATAATGGATGCTGTAGATAATATTGTAGTATCTTGGGAGAAGATCAAGCTAGCAATGATGAACAGTGTGGGGGAGATTTGACTAGAGTGTGTTCATTCCCAGAATTTTTCTCAAACAGATACAATTGCACAACTTCAATAAAACATTGTGACCCTTGCCAAGAATGTAGCCCTCGGGCTGGGGATGTGGCTCAAGCGGTAGCGCGCTTGCCTGGCATGCGTGTGGCCCCGGGTTCGATCCTCAGCACCACATACAAACAAAGATGTTGTGTCCACTGATAACTAAAAAAATAAATAAATATTAAAATTCTCTCTCTCCCTCTCTCACTCTCTTAAAAAAAAAAAAAAAAAGAAGAAGAATGTAGCCCTGGAAGAGATGGTAGAGACTGACATGAACCAGTTACTGTGATCCATGAAGAAGATCTTTCAAATGAGCAAGTGATGCAGCTGGAACTGGAGCAGGCAGCAGGACAGGAAGTGGGTCCTCCCTACATCAGCTGACCACAGAATTGTCTGCAGCCTTTTCACATTTTGAAGCTGACTTGCAGGTCCTTACCAGTAACAGGTCTAATGATAAGTGAAAATTGAAAGTGTCAAGAATAATCAATGGCACAATAAGCTTCTACCAGGAATTATTTGAGAACTAGCAGGTTCTTTATCAAAATAGAAGCCAAAAACACAAATATACTTCAATGTTGAGATTCAGATAGACCTCTGTGCTTCCAGATGTTTAATATGCATAAACTTTCTGCTGGTATTTCCTTTTTTTTTTTTCCCCTAGATGTGGACGGACACAGTATTTTTGTTTTTATGTGGTACTGAGGCTCGAACCCAAGACCTCACACATGCTAGGCAAATGCTCTACCATTGAGCTCCAACTCAGAAAGGTATTTCCTTTTTGACAATTGGAAGTATCAGATTTTGCCATTAAAACTGTATTTACATCTGTGAAAACTTTTTTTTTATTTACATCAGGAAAAAGAAAACTTGCAAAGAGGAGACTAGCCTTTTCAGACATTAGAGCACAAGATCAAGGCCCCATAATTAAAGCAGTGTGAGAGTCAGGCTTGTGGGTGGGAACAGAGAGTTCAGACATGGATGCAGATAGATTTTGCAAAAGATAGTTCAAGATAACTGGTTGACCGTTTGGAGGAACATAAAATTAGATCAAAAATCACAAAATATGCTCAAAACAGACCAGGAATCTGAAGAGAAATGTGAAACCATACAAGTGTGCATGAGTGAATTTCTCTTCTTTTATAGAAACGGGGTCTAGCTGTTACCCAGCTGGTCCTGAACTTCTGGGCTCAAATGACCCTCCTGCCTCAGTCTGCTGAGCCTAGAACTTGAGGCACACACCACCACTCCCAGAAGTGGATGCCTTTTTACCCAGGTGTAGGGAAAATTTTTCAATGACTTTAAGCCCAGATTAAGTGAAACAAAATATTAATCAATTTTGGCCATATAAAAGTATAATCAAAATAAAACATTTCCATGGGAATGCAAACAAGGTCAAAAGGTATTGAGAAACTGAAAGAAAATATTTGCAAGATATTTCACAATAAATGGGCTAAATCCCTAACTTGCATAGAATTCTTAAAGTTTGAGAAGGAAAATACTTGGACAAAAGACAATTCATGGGGCTGGAGATATGGCTCAAGTAGTAGTGCACTTGCCTGGTATGTGTGAGGTACTTAAGCACCACATTAAAAAAAAAGACAATTCATAAATTAGATTCCGAAATATGAAAAGAAGTTCAATCATACTTGTTATTAGAGAAATACAAATTAAAACTACACATTGTTTCTCATTACCTTCTTGCATATATCAGAAAGTGTGTGCCAGGCACGGGCATGGGCCCATTAGTCCCAACTATTCAGAAGGCTTGAATTCAAGACCACCCTTTGTGGCTTAGTAAGAAAAAAAGGGGACTCAAGTGGTAGCGCGCTCCCCTGCCATGCGTGCGGCCCAGGTTCGATCCTCAGCACCACATACAAACAAAGATGTTGTGTCTGCCGAGAACTGAAAAATAAATATTAAAATTCTCTCTCTCTTTAAAATATATATATATATATGTAAATAAATAAAGAGGCACATGAGGACACAGAAAACAGGTTGAAAGGCTACCACTGGCCTAATCTGGGACATTATGATTTCAGTAAAGAACTCAATGAGTAAAGTAGAAACTCGAGGACATAAAAAGAGAAATAGAACTCTTCCAGATAATAGTCAACTTATAAATGTAGGTAGAATGACAATTAGTCAATCATCAATTGGTAGTGGACATCATTAGAATTGTTCTTCAAAATAATTCGTCTGGGGGCTGGGGATGTGGCTCAAGCAGTAGTGCGCTCCCCTGCCATGCGTGCGGCCCGGGTTCGATCCTCAGCACCACATACAAACAAAGATGTTGTGTCTGCCGAGAACTGAAAAATAAATATTAAAAAAAAATTCTCTCTCTCTCTCTCTCTCCCCCCCCCCCTTTTTTTAAAAAAAAAAATCGTCTGGGGGCTGGGGAATGTAGCTTTGTAGTAGAACACGTGCCTACCACATGTGAGGTCCCTAGGTGTGATTACCAACAACCACCACCAAAAAAAAGTCTGATGCACCTTTCAAAAATGTCAGTGTTTGGTCAGATTAAAGGCTAAAGAGACTTGGCAACAGAATGTAGTCTGAGATTTGGGAGAAGGAAACGAGGTTGACTATAAAATAGAAAACTTGCAAAATCTGAATAAGATCTGCTATAAGTTTTATAGTACTGTGTTCAGTATTAATTTCCTTTGATGGTTGCACTATGGCCATGAAAGGCAGTGTCTCTATGGAGTGGGTATACACACATATGCACAGAAAAGGAAGAGTATAGAAGCAAGCTGTTTGCAGCTTGATGTCCAATGTCTCAGAGCAGAATGTGTGAAGGAAGAGAATAGCATGTGGCGCCAGATGTTACCATTTAGAGAATCCAGGAGGTGGCAAATGGGGAGATTTTTACAACTTTCCTGTAAATTTCAATTTGCCAAAGTGAAAACATAAAAAGAAAAAAGCATATTCTGAAAGGGGGGAAATTGCACTCTCTATCTCATGTCCCAAGTGCAACTTTAGCTACTGAGTTGTTGGAGGCATACTCAGCATCCCAGTCCACAATTGCCCTGGGAAGCCCTTCCTCTTACCCTTCTAAGGGTCTCCAATAGAAGGAAAGAAGTAGATGTGCTCTTGGGCTTCTCTGGGGCAGAGAGTTGCAGCATACTAGTCCATCTGGATGCAGTTACATATGGATGATGTATAAAGACACTTCCTAAAGCAGAGTCCTGGTGTCATCTGGATCATAGCCCCTTTGAGATCCTGTTCAAAACTGTAGATCCCATCTCTGCAGAAAAAAAAAAAAAAATGCATACCTAGAGTTTTCAATCTAATTTGGAAGGGGATTTATGAATCTCATGAAGACCATCCATTAATAACCCCTATTCAAGGGCCTTGAGCTGCAGTGAGGGCCTTTCTAATGGGTTTGGCTTGTGAAGATGGATGATGTTCCTGAGAGCCAGAATGGGACTCTGGATGAACATGTCATGATTATATGATGGCCAGTCTACCACAGCTTGTTGTTGAGCCAGTCCTGAGGACTTCAGAGAAACATAGCTGCTATTTACAGAGCATTTTCTACATGGAAGACGCAGTGCCAAATGCTTCCTGGAGATTTGAGTGGTCATCCCAGCTCATCAAAATGAAGGCTGAGATAAACTGTGCAAGTTCTCCACACACCACCAGAGAAGGCTCAGGTCTTGATCTGACACCATCTTAAGCACTACTTCTTCTTCTTTTTTAATACCTTCATTTTATTAGTTTATTTTTATGTGGTGCTGAGGATCGAACCAGGGCCTCGCAAGTGCTAGGCAAGACTTCTGCTGCTGAGCCACAACCCCAGCCCCATCTTAAGCAATTCTTCCAACTTCACCCGAAACCAGGTACATTTAAGCCTGCTGGAGGGGAAGGCCATGAGGTTTCCTACCCCTGATGTTGGCTTTTATGTCAAACAACTCTGCTTTATCCCAGATTCACCACACACACCAGAGTCTAGAGAAAACATTTAATGAGACACAGATGGTGGCATTACTGTGACTGGGCCTTCCTCAGGCCATCCGTGTTCCACGCTATGGGTATCTTTGGGTGTAGTCTTCTAAAAGATGCTGGCCATGCAAATCAACTTCTGGCTGTGGTTCTTCCTATCATGCTGTGACTAGTAGAAGGTCCCACACATGATTCTAATTAAAGACGACTGTCATCCAGAAAGGTAGAGAAGAGGTGTTAGGGGACAAGGTATAGAGGTGAGTTTAAAAAAAGCACAGTAGTAGTGGGAGGAGTGGGGAATATCTAAAAAGGGGGAGCCAACTTTTGTCCAACAAATGCCAGCCTACAGATGTTTCCTAAGGACATAATACTTTGTAACTAGAATAATGTGATGTTGACTACACAGGAGATTCAGGAATGACCAATATCCATGTGACAGAAATGTGATGCAGTAGTGATAGACATGCAGATTTAGGGGTATAGGAAAAGGGCACTTAGCCTTTGCCCCCCCCCCCCATTCAATCCCAAAGAGAAAGGGGAAGCAGGATAGGGACCCACCACTGACCTGACCTCATGTCACACTGCTTAAAGAATTTCAACAGTGTCCCCTTGTCACTGTTCCACCCTGAGGTAGGTCAATACCACTTTCCCCATTTTCCAGATGGGGAAACTGAGGCAAAACACAGCAAGCGCCTTGCCTCAAGCCAACTGGTGGCACAGCCGGATAAGGAGGGTGCTGTTTCACCCCCCCCCCACCCCCAGAATGAGCCAGCAAGCTGGGCTGTGTCCTGCTGGCTGAAGTGTCTCTTGGGCTTAGTCACAGGTGATGAATAGCCATCACCTGCCCTCTGCCCACCACCTGTGTATGTCCAAAGCCAAGCACAGTCTAGGGTGGGGAGGAAAGGGACAGACAAAAGCAACCCCAGCTGTCCAGGGACAGATGACCATGTCCTGACATCCCTCCTGCAACATCCCCATCCCTAGGACCTGTAAAGTGCAAACCCCAAGGCTGGGAGTGGCTTTCCCACCGAAAAGCCTTGGGTCCTATCCACCTTCCAGGTCTGGACATTCCCGCATGAGCTCTACACCTCCTGCTTCATTCTTCCTCCAGCAAATATTCCCATTTCTCAGGCCTCAGGCCCCAAACCAAAACTTTCTGGATGGTCATCTCTGAGCTCTCTGGAGCTCTTCAAGACTGGCAGCAAGACAAAGCTCCAGGGACAAATGTGATCCCAAGGAATGCCACACAGGCCTATTGTACCCAACTCCTTTACCTGACCTGGAACCTCCTCCAGGGACCCAGTTCCTGCTACACACCGGAGGCCAGGACACCCTTCTTGGGCCGGGCCCACCACCACTCATCTCAGAGCACCAGGATAAGGGGGCTGGGCCAGAGCAAGAGCAGCAGCAAGCGCACCCACAAGGAGAAGCGCCACAGCAGGAAGCCTCCCTTTCCTGCTCAGGGAGGGCAGGGACCCAATGGACTGACGGCCCATGGATGACTTAGAAGAACCTCAGGTGGTGCCATGGACACAACCTTGAAGAGCCCCAGCCAGGGATGATCAGAAGCTCCCAAAGAGGCAAGGGACCAGAAGGGTTGGTCTTCAGGTAGAATCTAAAGCATCTGCCAGAGCAGGTGGAACAGGCCCAAGGCTGGGTGTATGCAGCTGGCATGCTCAGGTCTCACTGGCCACTCCTCTGAAGCCCTCTGGGGGTCTTTACCTGACCAGTTGCAGAGTGGCTTGGACGGGAGCAGGGAGGGGCATCTCTAGAACCCAGAAGCCTTGGCCCTAGGGGATTGGGGAATGCTGTGTCACTGGGGAAGTAAGAGGTCCTTCCCTATCCCCCTAGAAAGTCACACCCTGACCAAGGAATCCTATAGTGGGGGTGGAGGGTCGGGGCTACACTGTGACCCCTCAGAGCAGCACACCAAGTTAACAGCCAGGTGCAGATGCCCCAAGTCCAGCCAGCACCTGGAGATCATCAGTCCTGGTGGGCACTGCTCACCCACTTCTGGCCCAGCAGGAGTGAAGACATCCAAAGGATGCACCCAAAGGGTCTTCAGGGCAGAAACAGCACCCTGGCTTTGACAATGCCAGTGGGGTGGGTGCCAGATAGGCAGGTGGTGTGCCCAGTGCTCTAGGCATCCAAGTCTGGATCGGGCTCCTGGAAGAGTGACTGCTTCCTCAAGTTGAGCCGGGCACACTTGGGACATGTGGTTGAGTTGTCGTAGTAGCAGTCCCTGGGGGCAGAAAGACAGGCTGGACTCTGCATGTAAAATTATACCACGGGACTCTCACAGCCTCCTAAGTTAGCTTCCATTAACCCTCTGCAAACACAGAAACAGGCTCACAGATGTTCAGTACCACAGGACAGGAGCAGGGTCTTCATCCAGGAGTCACTAACCTTGAGGCCCACGAATGTGCCTCTGCTAAGGTCCGCACATTACCCAACGCTGCAGGCTCCTAGTTAGTGGGGCTCAGCCAGGCAGTCACACCTAGGCTCCACACGTGTAGCTACTTGACTGTCTCCACCTGTTCGTGCCACTCTGGTGCTTCTACCCGTGGTTCTAAACTGTGTGTCGAGGCATGCCAGGGCACTGCAGAGAGTGTGTGGGGCTCTACAAGCTCATTTACTTCTTTGAAGAGAACACAGCGATATTTGAAGTCTGTGAGGCACATGCAGACTACTAGCTCAAGGGAATTTTGTGACTCCCTAGCTGTGTAGAGCTGAGATGTCATCAGTTACTATGATAAACAGCAGATGCCCAGCAAAAATCAGTGTGGGCAGAACATGGGGAATAGTGTCCCACTTGACTTCAGGGCCCAGCATGTACACATGTATCATTAGTAGAAAATGATACTTATTGAATAACAAAATTCAAAATGCTTTTCTTCTAATTTATGTGTATTATTTTTCCAAACAGCCACTAAATAAATCTTCAGGACATAAATCCTTATAACACTGTTTGGACATAGGTACTTAGTAATCAAAAGTGTTAGTTTTTTTGTTTGTTTGTTTTTTTAAGTAACTGAGGCACTAAGGGTTTCAGGAACTAAAGCTTGGGAACATTTGGCCTGTACTGACCTGAAAGAGTGAATGCCACTGGTGCAGAAGGGAGCAAGTGCAGGGCCATCTGGGCTGCAGCAGTCCCTTCCCAGCTCTGTGGGCATTCATCCCTAATAGGATTTTTAATTTAGTCAGACACCAGGATCTAACTAGGTATCTCAGAATCGGCCAAGGCCCAAAGGTCTGTTTCCCTGTCTCTCGGGGACAGCAGTGAGGCTCACACAGACCAGCCACAGCTGAGGGCAGACAGAGCCACAGCTGAGCTCAGCAACCAGTTTGAAGTTGGGTCCAGGCCACACCCACCTGTGGAAGACGGCTGAGCAGTCGGCACACACAGATGTGTGGCTGTCAAATGGGAACAGCACATCGCCCTCTCTGCAGAGCTCACACACGAACCCCTTGGCCTGGCACCGCTGGTAGGAAGGGGAAACAGTGTGGGAATTGAAGGTGGGCAGGTAGGTGCCAGCTCGGGCCACGGATATGCTGGACCCAGCTGCTGCTTCTGCCAATCCCAGCTCTTGAGTCTGGAGGGCCAAAGAGCAGCTTCATGGTCCCTCTGGTCCAGACCCCAACCATGGAGGGCTACGGAGACCCACCTCACAGTCCAGCTTGATGTGCTTGGCGAAGAGTGTGTGGGTCTCAGTGAGCGAGCAGCCCAGGCGGCCCACGTGGACATCCAACAGGTCCTGGATGGAGTACATCTCATCGTTCTCCACAAAGTGCTGCCGGTCCTGGAGCTGCGAGCCAGAAGATGTTACCCCAAGCACAGAGCAAGGGCCCTCCCCTCCACCCAGGCCACTCCCGTTGCCAGGGCTCAGGGTGCTGAGGAAGGTACCTGTGTGTGGGCTCAAGATCAGAATCCAGGAGCCTGGGGACCCCTGAGAGGGTCTCGGAGCCCAGGCCATGTTTCTGGGTCTATATGCCCCTATTCTCCTTGCCCCTCTGATGCCCCTTCAGCCACAGTGGTGGTCCCACTACTCCCCTCTTGCAGTCCTTCCCAATTCTGGCTGTCACTCTTCCTGGTCCCAGTTCCCCTGCTTGGCACCTGCCCCACACGCCCTGTCCCCTTCCCTGCTTTCTCTTGTCCACTGTGCCTGTCTCTGACATACGACTCCTCATTTTTCTTGAATTCCTGACTGATGGGCACTCTCCAAGGGTGCAAAGCTCTCCTGCTTGTCCTACTCACTGTTTTCAGAATCCAGACCAGAGTCATGAATGTTGGTTGAAGAATAAACAGGTGGTTTATTCTAAATATTCCTTTTGGTTGCAGTTGAACACAAGACCTTTGTTTTATTCATTTATGTTTATGTGGTGCTGAGGATGGAACTTAGAACCTCACAAATGCCAAGCAAGCCTTCTACCACTAAGCCACAGGCCCAGCCCCTAAACAGGTGAGTTTTTTGTTTTTGTTTTTGTTTTTTTTAATATTTATTTATTTAGTTAGCTTTCGGCAGACACAACATCTTTGTTTGTATGTGGTGCTGAGGATCGAACCCCGGCCTCACACATGCTAGGTGAGCGCGCTACCGCTTGAGCCACATCCCCAGCCCCAAACAGGTGAATTTTAAAACTTGTGTTTGGGATGGGGTTGTGACTCAGCGGTAGAGCGCTCGCCTAGCATGTGTGAGGCCCTGGGTTCGATCCTCAGTACCACATAAAATAAAATAAAGATATTGTGTTCATCTACAACTAAAAAATAAATGAAAAAATAAAATAAAACTTGTGTTCCTCTTGGGCTGGGGTTGTGGCTCACTGGTAGAGTGCTCACCTAGCATGTGTGAGGCACTGGGTTCAATCCTAAGTACCACATAAAAATGTATAAATAAAAATTAAAGATAAAAAAAAAAAAAAAAAAGACAACTTGTGTTCCTCCTGTTGGAGGAATCTGGGCCAGGTTCACCTCCATGGAGACTCACATGAAGGTTGAAGGACATCTTACTCATCTGTTTCCAAAACTGAAATAATCAAAGAACACTTCTGTGGGTAGACTACCTGATGGCTTATTATCAACCTGGTGTTCCGGTACAGTTTGGGAGGCCCAGACTGCTACAAGTTAAACATACACAACTACCAAGTTATCTGAAAAGTTCCGAGTGTGAGGTGATTCCATCACCCTGGCTCTTTGGGGCCAGTCCCTCTGATAGTCTGACCTGCAGTAGCAGACGAGCTTCCATGGCCTCCTTGCAAGTGATGAAGTATGGCTTCATGAGCAGAATGTCCTGGCGCAGCTTCTGTGGACAAGGGAGCAGGTTAACTCCTCAGCTAGGGCAGAGGGGAGGCATATAGGACACAGTAGGGGCACATAGATCCAGAAAGGTGGTCATGGCCCCTCGCCGTGACCTCGTCAGCAAGGCAAAGGGACTGGCCCTGTGCTGGTTTTATGGGGTCATGTCCACTAGGTGGCCTCAGTTCACAGTCTGAGTGGCAACAAGATGAGCAGGGAATGGGGAGGTACCCTCAGTTTCCCCAGGATGGTCCCAGATCCGAGAGTTCCAGCCACACTCACGTCAGGATCGTGAGGTTCATTTACTATCGCCCACAGAATCCCCCACCACTCTGCTTATCCCAGCTCCCCAGGCATGCAGTGCACCATCAGGGCAATACTGGTCCACATCCAGCACTGAACTGAGATCCCAGTTAGATCCCACACCTCTCATCAGCCCTGTGGCGTTGGCAACTCAACCTGCTCTGCTGGTCCTCTCCCATGTGACATGGGAGCTAACCCTTTCCCCCACCTTGCCTGAGGCAATGTGGCACCTCCTACCTGGACAGAGCCTCAGTCTGCCCTCAGTCCCAGCTCTCCCTCGTGGCTGAAAGTGGCCACCAGCCCACATAGCGCAGAGCACGTGAACGTAGCTGGTCTGTACTAAGTGGACAACACACACTGGCATTCTCAGATGTGGCACACACAAAGGGTACAATAGATCAATAATTTTACATATTGATTGCACATTTAAATCACCTTTTGGATACACTGTTACATAAAATATATTAGTAAACATCTTCACCCGTTTCTTTTTACTTTTTTAATAAGACTACTAGAAATTAAAAAATTGCCTCCGTGCCTGCATCAGATGGCTCCAGGACAGTTTCAGCACTGTCAATCTGCAGGGCAGCCAAGCGGGCCTGTTGAACCTAAGCAGTACCTCTCCTCTGCGCACACCTTTTGTGGCCCCCCACGGCTAGAAAACTGAATCCATCAGATACAGCATCCTGCCCGCCCCTAGCCTCACCCGGATCTCCACCAGCTCCTCCACGTAGTTGAAGAGCAGAGGGTTGATCTCCCGGAGTCGGAGCACTGGCCGGGACACCATCAGCGCCAGGTAGCGCATGCTGCAGCGAGACACCTGCGGGGTGGTGGAGTGACCACGCCAGCCCAGGGAGCCAAATCCCGCCCTCACGTGCCTGCTGGCCATGGGACACACCCACCGCTTGCCTGCCAGTTGGCTCTCCCTCCCCAGGCCCTCTTCCCTGTCCCCAACCCCCACCTTGCGGGGCTCAAAGTCCCAGTTGTGCACCACTCGTGCAGGGATGACGGCCAGGTCATTCCAGTGGCAGTGGCTGCAGTAGTACTGGCCTGTGTAGTCGCACTGACGGGCCTCGCTGGGCACGCCCCCTGTGGGGATCAGCCATTCAAGGTCACTGTGGCAGCCACGGCCTGCCTCACCAGCCCACAGCCCACAGAAAATAGAAAGCAGGGTCAGTGATCCCACCCTCCAGACCAGACCTACAATCCCTAAGCCATGAGGCTGAGGGGCTTATGCCCTCAGTTTGATCACCATTTAAACAGGGCAGGAGGATCCCACTATAGGACCGCTCGTGGACCCCACGAATGAATGCTGGTAAGTCTCAAAACCCCCACTCTGTGTGGCTGGCCTGTGGTTCTCCTGGTCCCTGCCTGGGTGGGCTTCCTGTGACAGAGGCCACAGAGCTGAGCTTTGGTCCCAGCCGTGTAGAGATGTGGGCAAGTCAGGAAATAGCTAGAACCTCAGCTTGCTTTTAGTCAGAAGTGCAGTTGTCAGTCACTTCCCAAAGATGGGGAGCAGGGACTGACCCCCAGACCCTCACTTAACCCTTCCACCACCCATGCTGGAACAGCTCCCTCACCCTCTTCTCCCTGCCACCACTCACGCAAAGAGATGGGCACCCGGCACTCCGCGCAGCGGTAATCCTGGCTGTCCAGCCCTGTCTCAGGGCAGATGTTCAGCTCATACTCAGCCTGGTGGCTGACTTTGGAGCTCACGCAGGGCTTGGAGATGAGGCTCAAGCACTTGCTGTGGCAGCGGTAGTAACACCCTGGGTGGGAACAACCAGACCTCTTAGAAGTGGAGAGGAGGGTCCTGCAGCACAGGCTGACCTTCAGCAGGACCACTCTGCATCCTGCACATTTCTGCTGCAGTGTCCAGATCAATCCAAGACCTTATTGTGGCATGGCCCCAGAAGTGCCTTAAAGATCCTCACAGTTCCCTGAGCCTTATCTCTCAACTCGAGACACACATGTCCTGGGGCCAACCTGCCATTCCCACCCACCAAACCCAAGCTTTCCAAATGGAATTCTCACTCTTCTGTTCCGTCCCCAGTCCTGTTTCCCCTCTGGTTTTCAGCAGCTCCATCCATCCACAGCTGAGCCCAGACACCATGAGTTATGCCAGCTCCCCTTGTCTTTTACACTGCACACCCAAACCCCCAGCTGGCATGGCCTCAGCCACCTGTCACTCCATCGTACCCATCAGAGTTTCGTACCCTCCCCCTTCTACTCACCTCTCCTTCAGGCTTTGCCCCCTCCTTCCGCCTGCTCAACTCAGCAGCCAGAGTCTAAAGCAGTCAAGCACCTATGGCTCTACAAACGAGCCAACTTCACCACAGCTCCTCACACAGGACGCTGCAGTCGCTGTCTTCTGCTCCTCCCTGAAGACTTCAGCCATGGGACCCTTCGTCACACGGCTTCCTCAGCCAGAACACCTCTCCCTAGGTACATCCCTGCCTTGCTCCCTGACCTCCAGGCATTCGCTTAAATGTCACATGGGCACCCTAAAGTGGTACCCACTCTACCCACCATACATCCCATTCCCTTTCCCTTGTTTCTTTACTACCATGTCACTTACTAGTCTGATATTTCAACCAAGGAAATCTTCTGCAGTGATGGAAATGTCCTCTCTATACTGTCCAGTGTGGCAGCCACCAGCCTCAGGTGGCTATTGAGCACTCGCCATGTAGACAGTACCACTGATTTATTCCTATTTAAATTTGATGGCCATGTATAGTTAGTGACCACTGTACTGGACAGCTTGGATCTGGATGCAAGCCAGTGAAGGCAGGATCTTTGCCCCCAACGGTTCCTTGTATCTCCAGCACACAATAGGTCTTGGTCCACTGTGTACACTATAGAGGATTCACCTGAACATGACCCACATCTGGAAGCAGAGCTTTGGACTTCTCTGCCCTGCCCCAGAGACCTAGACTGCTTATCCAGTAGGAGTGGGTCTCAGTCTTGGCCTACCTGTGCAGGTGTACCAAGTCTGAATGAGTCCCCAGATGATGGTGTTGCACTTGTCACAGGTTTGCTTGACACTCTTGCTCTTCTCCTTGTAGAAGCGGTGCTCAAGAAGGACCCTAATGTTGGGCTCATCCTCATTGGGGTCCTACAGACAAAGAGCCAGGAAAGGGTCACCAGTGAGTTGGTCTCAACTCCTTTCCTTTATTCTAGCCCCTCTACTTATTTCTTCCAGGCACTGCTTATAGGAGTGCGAGTTCCCATTAGCAATAGAAAGACGGTCAGTCAGGGGCAGATCACGGACCACCCACTCCACTTCCCGGCATCCCTTTCAGCCACTTGCCACCTGGGTCTGCCCTGTGAGCAGGAATGATTTACTCTCCCTTTGCTGGCTGGGTGCAGACCAAAATGACGTGGTGTGGAGCCCTTTTGGACTCCCCCAGGGAATGGCAGAGCAGTGAAAAAGGACGACTTGGTCTTCAACACCATGACCTGTCACACAGGGCCTCGACTACCTGGGGGATTGTTCATGAGGAAAATCTCACACCAATCTCCTTTAAACCACTGAATTTTTGGATGTGTGTGTGGCCACAGCCGTACTGATTCCCCAGGGTCTCCTGATGTGGAGTCTTCATTAGGAAATCAGTGAGGCTGTGGCCACACACACATTGTGGGTCACTGCAGGGCACACATTGACAGCCAAGCCGAGGAACACAACTGGCCTGCAGTGGACATCTAGGGATTTGGGACTCTGGGATTCATTACCTCCTTCTGTTCTCCTGTCAGGAAACTCCTCCTCATCATCCAGATAGAAGGAGGTGGCTCAAAGAGGTATTCCCCCCCTCACTTGCTTCAGGGGGGCACATGACCAGAGCTGGCACACTGCTGTGCTTGTTTCAGGCATGGGCATGTGGCAGGGCCAGCCATCAGAGGTCAGGAGGGCCCAGGACTGACTTCTGCCTTCAGCACTAACAAAGGGGAGCTTCAGACTGGGGGTTGTCTCGGTGGTAGAGCACTTGCCTAACTGGCAGGAGGCCCCAGTTCCATCCCCAGAACCACCAAAAAAAAAAGGAAAGGAAGCTCTCCTCTGCCGCAAAGCCAGGCTGCCGTTGCTGGCTCGTGCCTGCATCACCTGTCTGCGGACTACCGAGGAGGGGTCAAACGTGGAAAGCAGAACAAAAGAGGGCAGGATTCCTGAGGACCTGTTGGTTAACAAGACAGGACGTTCCTTCTCGTGTAAGCGCCTTCAGGTCAGGTCTCTGTGCCTTGCCACCAAGAGGGGGAAGCGCCTGTACATGGGATACGGGCCCATCTCTCACTCTGCATTTCTAGACGCCTCTATGTCTCAGCCCCTCAGAGCCCAAAAAGACACACCAGGGAGGGAACTGGAGGCCACCCTGGTGCTCCTGTCCCCACTGCTACCGCCCTGGCTCTAGGCTCCCTCTGCGGCACAGGCGGCCAGCACCCACCTTCAGCTCCTGCAGCTTCAGCCGCAGGTGGATGAGCCTGACCACCGCGTCCTTCTGCTTCTCCGAGTGCTCAGGCAGCTCCAGGATCACCTGCCTGCACTCCTCAATCGCCTGCTGTAGCTGCTGGACATCGGAGGCCAGGAACAGACCCTGCCGGGTTGGGGAGCAGTCAGATGGCCACTGCTCGGACTCTCCCTTGGAGGCCAGACTGGTCCTCATGGACAGTTAGGCACAGAGCAGACCTCAAGCCCTTCCCCCAGATGAGGACTTGTTCAAAGCCCAGGAGAATTAGCAGCACAGTCAGAATCCATCCTGCACGGCCTGCCCCCAACGGGGCTAGTCTACCCACAGACTTCTGAAGACCTAGTAATTCAGGGTGCTTTCCAAAATCCAACTTCCAAGGGCTGGGATGGACGCTCAGTGTACAGGGCTTGCGTGACACGCTGGAAGCTGATGGGGTCCCCACTCCTCCACACACAAGCACACTAACTTCCTTTCTTTTTCCAGAAATTTGACTGGGGTTTGTTTTTTGTTTTGTTGGCTCTACTGTTTCACTTACTATTTGTTTGTTTGTTTGTTTGTTTGTACTGTGGGTTGAATCCAGGGGCACTTAACCACTGACCTACATCCTCAGTTCTGGTTTGGTGGTGGTGGTGGTGTGGTATTTTTTTTGAGACAGGGTCTCACTAAGTTGCTGAGAAAATTGGCCTTAAACTTGCAATTCTCCTGCCTCGGCCTCCCAAGTCACTGGGATTACAAGTATGCACCACTGTGGCTGACTTACTTCAAAAGAACTTCCCCTTAGAGGAAAGCTGGGGAAATGGTACTTGTTGTCATAAAGGAGAGGAAATGGCCACTTGGCTCAATTGCCAAGCCCAGACAAATGCCAATGAAGGAGCCTGGAGGAGTCCTCCACCACCAGACTAGCCGGGATTTGCTAAGACCCAGACGCAGAACAGACCACAGGGAGGCAGCTCCTGCAGCTGAACAGGTTGGGCTGACACTCAGGAGCCTTCCTCATCTACCGGGATGCTGGGCTCTAAGAGACCCAGGCAAAGAAAGAAGGCACCCTTCCCTTCTCCTTGGAAAGTCTGTGGCCAAAAGGAAGTATTCAAAATGTTATGATAAAGATAAAGACAGGTATCTGCATGGGCAACGTTTTAAGGCCACATACAAAATGAAAAATGAATTAGCATTGAGTGACTTCTGGCTAAATCTTTTTAAGTTACATTCTGATTTTACTGTGTTTCTCTCAAATAAAAGTTGGAGATAGTTTGCATAAAACTAAAGGCTTTCTAACTTTTAAAATAATTCCAGCTCTTCCACATTCACTTTTCATTCAAAGAAACGCTTTTGTAGAACTTCATGTAGAAGAAGCCAGAGTGGCCCTTCAGTGCTGGGCGGCTGGGGAGGCAGGGAAGGCCTCCTGCTTTCCCTCATCCACCCTCACTCTACTGCATATCTGCAAGACCCCTGGTGACCCCCAAGGGAACCAGTCCTCACACTTGCTCCCCAAGAGTCTGGACTAGGAGCCTAGAGGAGGGCGGAAGCCCAGGTTCTCAAGCTGCAGACCCAGGCTTTCTCCATCTGCTCTCCAACAGGCTCCGACTCGAGCTCCAGGGCACTTGGCTGAGGAGGGGACTGTCAACACCTGAAAATGGTGGTTCCCTGGGGAGGGAAGACTGCACACCTCAGACCTCATGGTCCAGCCCCTCTCCCCTCCCAGACCCAAACCTCACCACAGGGCGGGAGAAGTGGTCCTCAGACAGGCCGAGATCCATCACGCGCTCGGAGCAGGGGAACTCAGGCTCCCCAGGGGGCAGCTCAGGCAGGGCCTCTGGAGGAAGAGAGGGTGGGCATGGAGGGTGGTAGGGAGGAAAGTCAGCCTGCTCTCTCTCATGCTCGTCACCCCCAGGAAGGAAGCTGGGCCACTGGAGCTGGGAAGTGGGACGCAGGCAGACACAGGAAGGAGGCATGGGGAGCTGGGCCTGCTCAGTTCTGCACGCCCATTTGGTTTAATTCAAAAAGATGAGGTGGAGGGGCTGGGACTGTGGCTCAGTGGTAGAGTGCTCGCCTAGAACGTGCAAGGGCCTGGGTTCGATCCTCAGCACCACATAAATGTAAAATAAAGATATTATGTCCACCTAAAACCGAAAAATAAATATTAAAAAAAAAGATGAGGGCTGGGGATGTGGCTCAAGCGGTAGCGCGCTCGCCTGGCATGCGTGCGGCCCGGGTTCGATCCTCAGCACCACATACCAACAAAGATGTTGTGTCTGCCGATAACTAAAAAATAAATATTAAAAATTCTCTCTCTCCCTCTCTCTTTAAAAAAAAAAAAAGATGAGGTGAATGGTATTCAATGGTGCTAAAAGAGGCCCACAAGATAGCTTTATAGAAACATCTCAGTTTCTACAGCAGATACCTCATGTATAACTGCATGGACTCTGCACTGATTCTACACAGCCAAAAAAGCAACTGAATTTCTGAAAAAAAGGAAGTGTGTGTGTGTGTGTGTGTGTGGTGTAGCCACTGAACAGTTATAACACAGAGTCCACACTCCGGTGTGCACTCAGGCCACCTCGGCAGTTCCTGGATTCATACCCTGCTGACCCCTAGGTGAGCAGGGGCCTCTGCACAGGAAGCTCCACCTGCTAACTCCCCCACCAGTCTTGGCTCTGAGTTCGTTCCACAAGTGTCCTCTGAGCCTGGACTATGTGCCAGGCCCTGGGATTCAGCAGTGGCACACCAGACACAAACCCCTGCCCTCAAAAGCTCCTGCTGGCAGGAAGGCAGAAGCAATCCACAGAGCAGGCAGAAAGGACTGTGCCATGGGGAACCCACTCTGGGAGAAAGCCTGCTGGAGAGGGCAGTGGGGGGAAAGGTGGTGGGCTGGGAGAAGGGTCAGGGGGCCCACAGAGTCCCCCAGCACCTACCTTCAGAAGAAATGTCCAGGGCCTGCTCACTAGGTCCCTGCTCATGCTGCCTTGGCCCCAGCTCCTTGTTGAAGGGGTTGAGGTGGGCCTGCCGGAACCGGGCCAGCTTCTCATCATATTCCATAGCATTCCACCTGCGGACGCCAGGCAGGGCGAGATGAGGACCCAGGTCCCAGCCTCACCATGGAGCATTCCCACTCCCGAAAACCCCTGCCTCTTTCAGGAAGCATCCCCACACTACAGCCTCCATCCTCAGACTCTCCCTCAGCCACCTCCAGACCCCCTCCAGGCCCCTTGGCAGGCTCCCCTGGGGAAGTCCACAGTGACAGGCCCTTCTGATGTCTGTCATGTATATGACTTATCCAAGGGTGCCCAGCCAGATGCTCTGGAACCCAGGTCTTCCCTCCCAGCTCAGGGTTTTTTTACCCCAGACACTATAGGGCTCCAGCGCTGGGGTCCCCCATACGTCTAAACTGGCCTCACTCGGCCAAGTCCTCCATGCCCTTGCTGTTGGCCCACTTCCCTGAGACACGTCTCCTACAACTGGGATCCTCCATCCCAACCTAAGCGCTCCTTTCCCACCACAACTCCTGGAACTGCAGCCAGTGCCGGGCCCACCCTGCTTTGCTGTCTGTTGTGTGACTGGCAGGGCCCACCTGCCCCCTGCTCCAGGAAGGCCTCCAGGTTCTAGACTATGCTGGCACCTCTCAGGTCTGGGCTCCAGTCCTGCTGAGAGCCACATGACCTGGACCTTCCCCCAGCTCTGTGCCTGGTCCTCCAAGGTAACAAGAAGGAAGTGCCTAGTCAAGGATCAGTGACTGTTCTTTCCCGTCACAGGACTCAACAAACTAAGGACACACCGGGCTAAGGACTCAAGGCCGGAAGGAAGGGCTTTGGCTGGGCAGGAACACGGGCAGCCAAATACGGCTCCCACTTAATTAGCTGGGTCACACTCCTCAACCTCTCTGCCCCTGTTCCCTCCACAGTCTCCCTCTGCCTCCATTCCATCATCCACAAGTCAGCCACTTTCCAGGTGAAATTGGTTCACAGAAGTTGAGCACAAAATAAGCTCTTGGTAAGATTTACTATTATAGGCAGGGTACAGTGGCGCACACAGCTTAGAAGGCTGAGACAAGAGGATCACAAGTTCAAGGCCAGCCTCAGCTACTTAGCAAGGCCTTAAGCAACTCAGTGAGATCCTGTCTCAAAGTAGGGCTGGGGATGTGGCTCAGTGGTAAAGCAACCCTGGTTTAAATCCATTGTATAAAGAAAGAAAAAAACAAAAACAGAAAAGATTTACTATCATAGGAAGTCAAAAGATAATTTTTCAAAGCTGTGTAGTAAGTCCATGGGTACTGGTTATGCTTCTTCCATACCTGTTACAGTCTCAAATACGAAGACAATCCTGTGACTTCTCCTCTGCTCCCTCACCCAAAAGAAATGGAAGAGAACTGAGTCCAGAGGGAAAGGCCCTGCCCTGGGTCACAGTGTCACCTCACTGGCAGCTAAACAGCCCCACCCCAGCCCCATGCTGTCCTTACACTGGAGTCAGGAGCTCCACACCACCTGTGGATCCTGTCCTGCTTGTTAGGCCTCTGATGGGGAGTATGGGTTGGGCAGCCAGAGTTCTAGTCTGGCAGGAGCCAGCACCTGTTGACAGGCAGCTCCTGGGTCAAAACGGGAAGGTACAGAAGAGGATGAAGGTGCTGTGGCTCAAGCCTGGCCTCTCACTATCACCTGGTGACTACGGGTGGCTCACACTGGGCACCAGAGTCGGAGGCAGCCATCTGATACCCACCTCCCAAGCACCCAGAGAACAGCAGGAGAGATTACGCACTCCCAATGTTCACTGACGCCTTCATCTTGAGTGGGGAGTCCTGGTTTTTGGCTTGTCACATGATTTCCCAGTCTCTCCTGCAGCTAGACATGGTAATGTGACTATGTTCTGACCAATAGGAAATGAACAAAAAGATCACACAAGACTTCTGGGAATTGTTCTTAAAGGGAGGGCTGCCCCTCTGCAGTCCTTCCTTCCTCCCTTTTGCTGTCTGGGGTGAAGATGTACTGAGTAGAGCTGGAGCAACTACCTTGGGCAGGGACATAGAAGCCACAATGCGATGGCCAAATGACAAGATTGCAGGAGACGCCATCTGAGCCCTGAGCACTCACTGCGAAGTTCCTTCAAGTGAGACAGACACAAACTTCCGTTCACACCACTGTTATTGGGGATAGAGTTCTGTCTTTTGCAGCTCAAACAAAACCTGATTCTTCACCCTAGTTGCCTCTTGGTGTTAAGATGAGCAAGCCCAATTTAAACCCCAGCTCCGCCAGTTCCCCACTACATGACTTGGGTAAAAGCCTACACATTTCTCTACTTCCAACTTCTCATCTCTCAAATGAAGATATGATAGTACCATATGGGGCTATCGTTAATATTGGTTAATACAAAGTTCTGAAAGTGCTGGCCAGCACATAGTAAGCCCATGATAAGTACCAGCTACAACTTGTTATTATCATTGTTACCATTATTGTTGAGAATGACAACTCTGATTTAAATTCTGGCTTTCCTAGTGATGAGCTACAGGACCACATTGCCTATAGTCAGGGAGAACATGCCTCCTTAAGTGGATGAGAGGTTAAATATTCATATAGACATTAAAGTCAGCAGCCCAAAGTTGCTGCTGAGAAAACTATCACGTTATCACATGATAATGAGCCCAATAGAAAGGAATTGGAGTAGAGGGCTTGGAAGCCACCCCCAGGAGCTCTCCCTGCAAACCTTAGCCTGAGACTCAATATCTTTACACTTCCCAGCAACTGTCTTGGGGCTGCAATCTCCAGAGGAAACAGCATCTTTTATTCAACTCCTGAGTGGCATTGTCACCCCCCAGGCCTGGCACAGAGGCAGTGGATGGATGAAGCAGTGGTGTCATTTGACCTCTCAGTGCTAGTTTCTCTCCTGACTGGTCAGGGAATCAAGTTTCCCTGTCTGCTGAGGGCAGATAGATGATGTCCCAGCACATGGCTGCAAGAGTACAGCTGCTGACTTTAGTAGAGAGCCAGCAAACCATTCCCTTCAAAGTCACCCCACAGAGCTCTGCACCCATTATTCTGGCTTGAACTTAGAAAGGAACAGGCAAGAAAGGGGAGAGAGAGAGGAAAGAACCCCACTCTCTATCCTCTGCCCTCTAGAGATCTCCCCTCTTGTAGTGGAGGTGACTGCCAACATAGCGATTAAAGAAACCTCAGAGTGTAGCCAGAGGAGCCCCAGGGGCAGAGGGACACTGAGCTGAAGCTGAGGATATCTTCAGGATACATGCATCAGACCCCCCATGTCCTGCCCACCTGGCTACCATTCCAGCTGTCATCTGGAGGTCCTGAGAGTTCACCCTGGAGGGGGACAAAGTGCACTTCATCTGTACCTTAAACAAGGCCTGCCAGGACCCAGGTGTGCCCAGGGACAGGGTTACCATTCCTTTAAGGACTATCCACCAATGAAGCTGGCTGCAGAGACAAACCTCCCCCAACCCGTATCTCCACCTTCACCCACCACCCGAAGGCACCCTGGGGATGCTCAGGTCCTTGTGGGGCTCAGTCTGCCCCACGCCCACCCATTTCATAGAGGGAAAACCCGAGGCTCAGAGCAACCCAGCATCGCTGAGGAAGGCACAGTGATGCGGGTCTTTGGGCCTCCCGGGTCCCATCCTGACGGTGACAGTTAACTGGGTGGAAAGGTCCCTCCGTCTAGGTCCTAAACTCTGCCAGATGGAAGTGCCTGGCGCTCCCGGGAGAGGACCAGAGGGTGGGCAGCTGGGGCCGCGAGTCCGAACCCTGCCTCGGGCGCGCGGGGGCCTCCCGCCGGCTCTGCGCTCCGGCGTCCGCGTCCGAAGCCGGGCTTCAGGAGGTCCTGCCGGGCGGGCCGGGCGCGCCCGAGGCCCAGCGCTCCCGCTCCCCGCCCGCTGGCCGGGCCCGCCGCCCGGAGGCCGCTCTGCGCTCACCACAACTCCGCCGCCGCCGCCGCTACATTGTAACCCGTCGCGCCTCGGCCGCTACATTGTGTCCGGCCCCGCCGCGCGCTGCTGCCGCCTGCGGCCCGGAGGCTCATGACACCAGGTCCCCAGGGCGCGCCCTGCCCGGCGCCCGGCGGCCCCCACGTCCCGCCCCGGGAAGTGGGCTACTCGTCCGCTCACCGTGGTAAGTCCGGAGGCTGCAAAAGTCCTGCTTAAAACCGAGCCACATCCCTTTAAAAAAGAAAAGTGGGGCTGGGGATGTGGCTCAAGCGGTAACGCGCTCCCCTGGCCTGCGCGGGGCGCTGGGTTCCACCCTCAGCACCACATAAAATGAAGATGTTGTGCCCACCCAAAACTGGAAAATAAACATTAAATAATATTCTCTCTCTCTCTCTCTCTCTCTCTCTCTCTCTCTCTCTCTCTCTCTAAAAAAAAAAAGAAAGAAAGAAAAGAGAAAAAAGAAGAGTTGTGTGAGGGGCAAGCCTGTAGTCCCAGTCACTCCGGAATGACTCCAGAGGATCAGGAGTTGGAGCCTGGGCAATATTGCAAGACCCGGCCTGGGGCGGGGACCCCTCTCGGATGAGGAAAAGCGAGAACCGCCTTACAGGCAGCAGACGTTGTGCTGGACCTCGTCGGTCTTCTCCGTGGTGAGCAGGTAGCTTCACTCATCTACCCCAGTTCCCTCTCAAGTCCACCCTCGACCCAGGGAGGCTGGGGTTGTTCAGTGCAGCAGCAGTGGGAGACAGCCTCTGCCGCGGAGGCTGGAGTTACTACTGCTTTCCGGTAGTTTGTAGACAGAAGCAGCGTTGCTCCAGCTCACAGTCCTGCCCCCCAGCTCAGGGATGAGCTTTATCCCTGCAGGGAGGAACTGAGACAGAGGAGGGCAGCCGTGGGGCATGGTGCCCCTGTTTCTGGTCTCTGTGCAAAGACTCTGGAAATGGCCACTTTGCTCAAAGAGGGCACCATGATGATAGAGCCTATAACTGGGGGCTCGCAAGTGGGAACTCCAGACCACCTCTTTTAACCCTATCCAAGCCTGGAGGTGGGTGGTCTACAGGTGGGGTGGCCCATCAACTTCACAAAGATCACATCACCAATAAGGAGTGAAGCAAGATCGCAACCCAGCTCTGGGTGACTTGGTGCCTGGTGCTCATCCTCTTGAGACCTGTTCATACTGGAGGGGAATTCACCGAGCTGGGATTCTCAGGCTGCTGGTCTGATGGTCTGATTGTCCCTCCCTGGCCCCTGTCCTGAAGACTCTTTTCCACCTGGCCCTTCTCCCTGCTTCTCTCCTGCCTGCCCTTGTGGTCTTCTGGCAAGCCCAGGACTGGGCCACAACAAAGGAGAATGAACAGAGAGGCCTTCAGGGGGCACCTTTTCCTGCTCACCCACCCCACCAGCTGCTCCTTCAGGTCTCCTGCTTCTGGACCCTGTAGTGCTCTGACTCTGCCCTGGATCCTTTTACCCCTCTGTCCTTGCTCACTCCTTTTCTGGATGCCTTCAGGCAGGTGACTCTAAGAAACAACTCTGTCAATGGCTCCCCAGTGCTGCCTCACTCACTCCTCATGACTCGGAGGCTGACATCCGGCGCTCTTCTTGACATCACCCCTGGGAGGTCTGATCAGCCATTCACACTCAACATGTCCAAGTGGGCACTCAGCCTCTTCAAAGCTGTACCACCCTGAATGGCAGCTGCACCTGTCCCCAACCCCTTTCCCCCCAAGGCCACTCTCAGCTCAGCAGCCACAGCCCTCCTGGGAGAAAGAAGCCTGTTGCAGACTCCACCTCAGGCTCCCTCGCCAGCCTCTCTCCTTGGTTCCCAACCGGCCAGGCCGCACCCTCAGCCCTTGCCCCCAGTCTCCTCCAGGGCTTCCTCCTGCACTGGTTGTGGTGACCCTTCCCTCATGCTCAGCTCGAGCACTGTCTGGTGCCCCCCATCTTGTATGTTTTCACTTATTGTCTGCCCTCCCACTACCACCAGAAGCTAGGAGCTGCAGGCGAGCTATCTGTTGTCTTCCTTCACTGGTCCTGGGCCCTGGACACAGACCACTAGTTTCATGGACTGAAGAAGGGTTGGATGCCCAGGCAAGGCCAGGGCTGAGAGGAAGACCGTGCGCTTAGCACATGTCAGTACCAACTGTCGACCTGAGCCTGCACTTGTGCAAGTAGTGGGTCCTGGTCCAGCTCCAAGGAGAGCCAGATGACCCCATACTTGACTCACAATTTAAGGTCCGCCTCTCTCTAACTGGTATATGTCATGCCCATATCTCCACTCATTCAACAATGCATTTATTGAGCACCAACTGTGTACCATGTTCTGACTGAGCACCAAAATATGGTGCTGAGAAGACAGACAAGATCCCAGCACCCAGGAGGGCAGACAGACACTAAGCAAAGAAGCAAACTAATCAGGGATGTGTTGAGACTCATTCATGTTGTGCAGGGAGCAGTTGTTGACTCTTTTTATTGCTATTGATAAACATCTGGGCTGTTGCCACTGTTTGATATTACAAATAAAACTGCTAGAACATTTGTGTGCAAGTCTTTGTGTGGACATACGCCTTTATTTCTCCTAGGCAAAATACTCAGCAGCAGAATAGGTAGATCATATGGAGTGTGATCAATTTTCTAAAAAACTTAAAACCCTCTCATGGTGGTCATGCCATTGCACATTCTTACTGGCATCTGGTCACCCTCAGTGTCTTTAACATCACTGTGGTCATTGTCTCTGCTGGAAGAGTCTGGTAAAGTGGCATGGCTGATTGATTTCAGTACTTTGGACTGAATTCAGGGTCACTCTACCACTGAGCTAAACCCCCAACCCTTTTAATTTTATTTTTCATTTTAAGACAGGGTCTCACTAAGTGGCCCAGACTGACCTCTAATGGGATTCTTCCATTTTAGCTTCCCAAGTAGCTGTGGGTCTAGGTGTGCACCACATCACCCCATTATGACTTTATCTTCAAAAAATCACTGTGAAGCTCAGCGCGGTGGCCATGCCTGTAATCCCAGCTACTTGGGTGGCTGTGGAAGAAGGATCACAAGTTTGAGGTCAGCATCAGCAACTTAGCAAAGCCCTAGCAACTTCCCTGTTTCAAAATGAAAAAGGACAGGGGATATGGCTCAATATAAAGCACCCTAGGATCCAATTCTCAATATAAAAAAAAAAAAAACACTCACAAATCCCTCTGATGCTGATCCATGGAGAGAGGATCAGAACAGGTAGGAAAGGGATATTTCACAAAGTGTTGACATTTTCTCTCCAAGAGCCAGGTGGTCCCAAACCTATGAACCCATCCCTCCTACCCCCACCCCATTTCTGCTCCTGTTTTCAGAAGCCTCCTTCCTCTATTCAGTTATGTCTGCTAGCTCTCCCCGACCTTCCCCTCTCTAAAAGCCACCCTCTGTAGGTGAAGACTCCTCTGGGTTCCACCCTACCCTGCAGTCAGGGGTGAACCAGGTGGCCAGGACAGGGATGCCTGGACACTTACGCTCCCCCTTTCTGAGACATGCTGGCCAGTTTCAGTTAACTCTGAGTGTGACCTTGGTGAGTCCAGTGTTTTCTGTTTTCGTTAATCTTTGTTTTCGGACAATCATCCTGCTCCTAAGAGTGGAAAAGGTCAGCATTAGGGCTACAGTTTTCCATGGGGAATAATAGTCCATGGCCACCCGCTGGAGGAGGGGAGCACTAGTGCAATGCTAGGTGAAGTCCCCCAGAGATGTCTGAGAGGGCGAGTAGGTGCCAGGTTCCCCTCCCTGACCCTTCCCCATCCTGTCACATAGCCCACACCATGCACTGGTGCTTGTGGGTCTGAAGGGTGGGTAAGGGGGTAGGAAGTGATTGGTCTCAAAATCAGAACAATAAAGGCACAGGTGGCCAAGGAGGACTGGCTCACCTAGGCCATAGGAGCAAAGCTGCAGCTCTTATTGGTGAACGTGCTCTGGAGGGAAGCAGATGTTTGGCCACTGTAAGCCCAGAGGGGAGACACACAACCTTCACCAAGACTCAGGACAAGCTAGCAAAGAGCCTCCTCATCTTCTCTGTGAAATGCAGATAAAGGAAAAACTGAGTCCTGGAGTGGGAGAACTGTCCAGGTCTAGGGTAGTACAGAGCACGATTTATGGGGGGACTCACTCACAGAAGCTGTGGTCAGCATGTCCAGGATTCTTGCAGTTTGGGTCAGAAGGAGGGGACTTATATTTGGTCAGCTGAAACAGTGTATCTCAAGCTAGTAAAGAGGAGTCAAGCGCGTTCCTGTTGGATGGCAGCAGGGTAAAGCTCCACTGTCCCCTCTGATGGTCTGTTTATTTACGGTATGTTGGGAACTCTGGGAGACAGACCAAAGTTGCCTGGGACAGCATGGGCAGGTTGGGAAGGTTCAGGGAGGTGCATGGTAGAGTCCTAGGAGAGGGCCTGACAAAGAGAAAGCTCTGTGGAAAAGTGGTCATTCTTTATCTTGGAAGCAGATTTAGCAAAGCAGAACGGGTCAAAGGCATTTCAGGCACGGGTGCAGATGAGAGATGCCCAGCTGCCTCTTCACCTTCTTAGAGCTAGCCATTCTCCCAGAGGGCAGGCACAGCTGCACAGTTTGTGCATGTGCAACTCCAGGGGCACTCTTCTCTCCTTCAGTTATGACCACCTGGGGTTGTGCAATGTGGCAGCTCCATCAGTCCCTTTTGGACACCCATCTGAGCTGCGGTGAGTGGGAACAGAAGAGAAGAGGAACTGAGGCGCTCACTGCCCCACCCCTCTTGGCCACCACTCTCACTGAAAGCACATGGAAGAATACAAAAAGAAGAAGGGGATGGAGGCAGACCTCCATGGACCACATTTTTGAGGGGAAATTCGTGGCAGGCCGCAACAAAGGGCTGGGTTTTATAGGGCTTAGCGCCGCCAGGTCGTGGAAGGAGTTCTGGTGGCCAGCTCATTTAGGACAGGGCAGGAGGGCAGGTGGGGGGCAGTAAGGGAAGTTCCCTGAGTCCTGTTGTCCATATCCTTCACTCGCAGTGACCAGGAGTGAGCTGTCCGTGTGCTTGAGTGTACCAAACGGCACTTGAGCTCCACTCAGCGCGGGGGCCGGGGCAGCTGTGCTGGGGCAGAGCGGAGTAGCAGGACACAGGCAGAGCTGTGCAGAAGGGTGCCTTGACTTCGCCCAGATCCTGCGTGGCATTAGGACTGGTACATTCCATTCACCAGTTGCAATTGGATCTTCTCTCCCCACATAGAGTTGTGACCCACCCACCTGTTTGTTTATAGTGTGGTACCTGGAGTCCTTTCTTCTTCACAACTTAAAAGACACTGCTGCTGTTACATTAAAATTGCAAAAATGCTGTGGTGGTGGTTCTGACCTGTAGTCTCAGCTACTCAGGAGGCTGAGGAGGGAGGATCTTTTTTTTTTTTTTAATATTTATTTATTTTTTTAGTTTTCAGTGGACACAACATCTTTGTTTGTATGTGGTGCTGAGGATCGAACCCGGGCCGCACGCATGCCAGGCGAGCGTGCTACCGCTTGAGCCACATCCCCAGCCCAGAGGGAGGATCTCTTGAGCCCAGGAGTTCAAGACCAGCCTGAGCAACACAAGGAGACCATGTCTCCAAAAAGAAAAGAAAGTTATAGGAGGTGATTGCCTTGGGGGAGGGGGCTAAGCTCACGGTTAACTCCACATGCCTGCTCAAAACAGATCCACACAATACAACTGAACCTGAAACTAGTTGTGCTTGTGATGAGGAAGTCCCTTCTGCTTTAACTTTGAAAAACCAACTAGAATTCTGCTTTTCCTTTCTGCACAAAGCGGCTGTCCATCCCCATATGGCAGCTGTTATGGTCTGCACATGAGGTCTGCAGGAGGTGAGGTGGATGATCTGATTGTAAAATGGTGACCTAGTCAGATTAGCAATCCGATGGGCTCCTGGTGATAACTAGCCCGGTGGGGCATGGCTGGAGAGTTGTACATCTTGTTCCAAGCTCCTCCTGCCCTCTCTCTCCTTCCTGGCTGCCGTGTGCTGACCAGCTTCCCTCTGCTAGGCCTTCCCTCCGTGAGGTCCTGCCTCAGTTCCGGTCCAGAGCAATGGAGTTGACTGATCAGGGACTGAGCCCTGAAACCATGAAACAAAACAGACTTTTCCTCCTCAAGATTCTTCTTGGACATTTTGGTCATCAGGAGGAAAAGCTGACTGACCCAGAAGCCCACCCCAAACCCACTGGCATCAAACAGGAGCCCTTTTATCATGTTCACCGTGACGTGCCTGTCCCAGATGGGGACCCCAACCTGGAGCTCCATACACATTCTCTTTGGGGTGTTTGTTGTTGTTTTGTTTTTGTAGCTGTTCTTACAAAAGACCATTCTGGGTTCTAGAGGAAAGGGTTAGACTCTCTCGGTGAGAGTGGCCAGGCTGTGGCCGGGCCTGTGGTGTGGAAGATGTTCTGTGGCCTTCTTTGGAAGATGCAACTTGTCAGGTGCAGAACATCTTCACCTTCAGACGAGCTTCCTGCACTCCAAGGCTGGGAGGTCATGCAAGAGAGGAGGCAGCAGAGAGAGGCCAAGAAGGGAAGCCAGAGGGGGAAGAGGGAGCAGAGAGTGTGGGCCCCAGAGCTACAGCAAGGGGCTCCAGGTAGCACACCACCCACCCTCTGTCTGCAGCATCATGGCCCCAGCTGGCGCAGCCTCTGCCAGTGCAGGCTCAGCCCGGCCACCAGTGGTCTAGTATGAGCTGCAGGTGGCCTGAGCTGTGCATTCAAGGAACATAAATGAGGGCTGGGGTTGCGGCTCAACAGCAGAGCACTCGCCTCACATGTACAAGACCCTGGGTTCCATCCTCAGCACCACATAAAAATAAATGAATAAAGTAACGATATTGTGTCCAACTACAACTAAAAAAAATGGATATTAAAAAAGGAACATGAAGGAAAGTGGTGTGAACAGATGTAACTGGAAGGAGAGGTAGGTGTGAGGCCACTGAGTGACTCTGCTGCCCTTGAGGAGTGGGCTCTGCAGGGTATGAGCAAGGAACAGTGAGCACTGACCGCCATCCCACGAGCACGTGGCCGCCATATGAGGAAGGGATCAAAGTGGCCCAGCAGGAGCAGGAGCCCAGTAAGGACCCGACAAAATGGCAGACATAGCAGCAGATGTGGGGATTGGAGTTCTGGGTGGATTCTGAAGATCATGTGATAAAATACCTGAGAAAATCAACTTAAAAGGAAGAAAGGCTTGTTTTAGCTCAGGGTTTAAGAGATTTGGCCTGTTGTTTGGGTCTTGTGTTAAGGCAGAGCCTCATGGTGGAAGCCTGTGGTGGGGAAAACCTGTTCACCATGTCACCTGGAAAGCAGAAGCAAAGAGCGAGAACGCAACTGGGTCCCAATGTCCCCTCCAAGGGCTCACACCCAGTGACCTAACATCCTTCCACAAGGCCCCACTTCCTCAAAGTTCTACCACCTCCCAGGAGTAAGTGCCGCAGGCTGGAGAGCCAGCCTTCAGCACCTGACCTTTTGGGAACATTTAAGATCCAAACTCTAATGTGGAGCTACCTGATTTGC